AGGCCTGGGGGGGGATAGATTCCCTCTACAGAGAAGGCCTGGGGGTGGGGATAGACTCCCTTTACAGAGAAGGCCTGGGGGGGTGGATAGGCTCCCTCTGCAGAGAAGGCCTGGTGGGGGGACAGGCTCCCTCTGCAGAGAAGGCCTGGGGGGGCAGGCTCCCTCTGCAGAGAAGGCCTGGCAGAGGGGGACAGGCTCTCTCTGCAGAGAAGGCCTGGGTGGGGTGGATAGGCTCCCTCTGCAGAGAAGGCCTGGGGGGGGATAGGCTCCCTTTACAGACAAGGCCTGAGGGGGTGGATAGGCTCCCTCTGCAGAGAAGGCCTGGGGGCAAGGGGGGGACAGGTTCTCTCTGCAGAGAAGGCCTGGGGGGGGGTAGGTTCCCTCTGCATAGATGGCCTGGGGGGGGGGGGGACAGGCTCCCTCTGCCCCAAGGCCCTCACGCTCCATATAAATCTATGCAAATAAATAACTTTTGTTTCCCCCCACCCTAGATCTTTTAATACCTTTATTTCTAATCAATTTTTGGCCCATATGCCTACTGTTTTTCTTTGACAATAATTCTGATGACTTTAAACACTTGTATCTCTAGGTAAATTACCCGAAAGAAAATTGGCCAAGAATATTCTTGCCTTTAGGACTAGGCTCAAATGTCCCCTCATCAACGGACCAGCTCTGGACGTTACGAGTAACCCCCACCTCCTGCAGCAGCCCCGTCCCCCAGGACAGAATTAGGTCACAGGTCATGCTGACATAGACTCCTTCTTGGCTTTGGGTTTCTGAGTGACGGCACTGGATTATGAACCATAATTAAGAGATGAAGCTAGTATACTCTTTGGGAACAGGAGGTTCATGATTCGCGGTGACAGGTTGGCAGGAGACAGAACAGATGCATGACTGACCGTGGGTGCCGACACATGCCCTTGGCCTTCACCATTCCAGAGCCTGCTGGCCTCACTTCCTGCCCGCAGCTGCACGTGTGTGCCTGGGCATTTCCTCTGGCGTGTGAAGGCAGCCTGCAGGGCTGGAGAACTGTGTGCCCACCCCAGGGGAAGCCCTTGCCTCAACCCGGCCCTGCTGCTGCCAGGGCATGCACGCCCTACCCCCTCGCTGTGCTGGGAGTAACTCCGGGGCCTGAGTTCAGCAGTGGCCCTTGACAAATGTCACCTTGTAAATCCCGGTCCTGTAAATCCCTAAATACGGGCGGCACCTGAGAGGCGAAGTGTGACCGCGGAGGCCCAGTGGGGCTTCACCTGCTTCACCCGGCACCCAGCAGGACCAAGCGCTGGCGTCCAGGGCATACCTGCCCCATTTCTCCCCTGCGCTGGCTTCCTCCCTTCCCCATCCCCCCTGCTCAGTCTCCACGCTGCCGCCTGAGATCTCATCCCCCATCAATTACTGGCCCTTGACTCCTGACTCGGGAGCTGCTTCTGGGGGACACAAACTAAGACACTTGCAAATACAATCAGTGTTTAAAATTGGGCATTCTGGGGCCATTTATTTGGATTTGGGAGAAAGATGATTTAAGTACAGCAGCACCTTCTAATCACTTTGGATGCTCCTTACGTTTACTGAGATAGACTTAATTATTTACATGCTTTGACTAGATCACGTATATAACTATCGTGGCTGTTTCAAATATATGTATTTTATTAATTCTAGAAGTTATATTTTAAGTAGTGAAAATTTAGATATTCTGAAGTAAATTTTTGGAATACTTACTTTTTTGTGAGCATTCAATTACAATTCTCTTTTATCTCCACTTTGCCTAAGTGTGACTAGGTGCTCACTCATGAGCATGTGGGAATGCACGGCTGGATGGTCCGTGCGTTGAAAACATGGGATCAAGTGTTTAATGAGCACCCACCAAAACAGGAGTAAGGGCGTTCTGTTGTGCTTGCTGTTAAGTAGTGGTCTGAAGGACCAGGTAATTCCTGAAACAGGTGCCTGATGGTAGCTTGGTGGTGAGGGTGAGAACGGTTTCATTTGATTTAACCCAGTGAATTTTTACCAAAATCCACCTTAGACAGGCTCTATAATGGGAACTGAGAATGCAAACCCATGAGCACAGAACCAAGTAAGGGCATAGCTCTGACAGGTCGGCAAAGACACATGAACACGGTGTGAGTCCAGCAGAGGACACGCGAGGCCTTGTGACATCATTAAGGAGGAGACAGCCTCCCGGTCCTGGCTTTGAAAATCACTAACTTCAGTTTTAATGCAGTTTGTTGTAGTAATTGTCCCACAAACCTTGAGAAGTTAAATCTTGGGGGGCAGAGTGCTGGGCAGCATAGATCTGCAGGAAGGCCAGGATAGCGCCCAGTCCCTTCTGCACCACGAGTGGAGCGGGGAACTCCAGAGGGCAGTGTCTCAGGTTCAGCGCTTTCAGTGAGATCACGTTCCCTGCGCGAGAGAGGAAAAGCCCAGAACTACACACACTGTTACGTGGAATCAAACAAAGAGAGAATACTGTTTGCACATTAAAGGAAAAAAAAAAAAAGACCTTTTTTGAGAATTTTGGGTAAACGATAGGACAGATGTCTGAGATTTGCTTTGAAAAAAGTCTGCAGGGAAGGCAGATTGCACAGATTAAGTACCAGGCTAGTTACAAAAGTAAATAAATAATATAAAATGAATAAAAGCAGCAATAACAGCCCTCTGGCAAAAATCAGAACACGAAATTGCTATATTATCTAACACGCCTCTTGGCAATGACAGAAAAACCCCTAAAAGGCATGTAAAGAAAAGGAACCTATGACCCATACTCAGGAAATAAGCAGTCACTGGAATCTAGCCTCAAGTCGGCTCAGATATCGGAGTAAGCAGACAACAACTTCAAAGCAGTCACAAATATGTTCAAAGGAATGCAGAAAACCATGTTTAAATAATTAAAGAAAAACATGGTAAAATGACCCAACAAGTACAGAATGTCAACAAAAACAGAAGAAGGAACCAAATAGTTCTAGAGTTAAAGCTACAAAGCCCGGGATGAAAAACGCACCAGAGGGACCCAACAGCAGATATGAGACGGCAGAAGAGACCAGTGATGGTCTGATGGCCAGAGCGAGGAACGACGAGATCAGGAGTCTGCGGAGGCCTGTGGGACAGCAGCATGTGTGCTGATCCATGGGAACATAGCGAGAGCCCCAGAGGACGAGGGGGCGAGCAGAGCGCTACGTGAGGACACGTGCTAACATGCCCAGCTTGGCGGCAGACATCAGCGTAACTTCCGGGACGTCCACAACCAAGTAAGATAAGGCAAAGGCAATCACACTTAGAAACATCAAAACCACTGAAAGACATAGAAAAGCAAAGGATCTTGAAAACAGCACAAGAGAAACAAGGGGATGACATACAAGGGGACAACGAGAGTAACTTCCAGTTGAAAACGGTGGAGGCCAGAGGACAGGGAACAACGTGTTCAGAGGGCCGAAAAATCCTGTGGATCAAGTGCCCTGATCTACCCAAACTGTCCTGCAGAAATACAGATGAAATGAAGATATTCCCATCTGATGCAGGAAGAGTGGTTCATCTGGACTGGCCTGCAGCAATTACTAAAATGAATTCATAACTGAAAACTTTCCCCGCCGCACACACAACCTCGGGACCAGCTGACAACCACTGCACTAAATGAATGAGTTTAATGGCAGAAGACAGAATCTGTGAACTCCAAGACAAGTTAACAGGAAGTAATGTGAACTGGAACAAACAGAAAAGGGCATGGGAAAAGAATAGCTTCTTTGAGGCACGTGGGACAGAATCAAAATCCCAACATCATGTGATTGGAGGCCCAGGAGGAGAGGAGAACGAGAAAGAAGCCAGATCTACAGAAATAACATCGACAGCCAGGGATTTTCCAAATCTGACTAAAGACATCAATAAACAGATTCCAGAAGCTCAGGAAGCCCCCAAAAAGGTAAATACAAAGAAAGCCACACCCAGGCACCTCACAGGTGAACTGCTGAAAATTAAACATGAAGAGAGGAATTTTCAGCAGCCAGACAAAAGAGATATATCCATTTTAAAAGAAAAGCAGTAAGACTGACAGCTGACTTTTCAACAGAGGTTAGAAGCCAGAAGACAATAAAGACATTTTTTAAAAAAGATTTTATTTATTTATTTGACAGAGAGAGACACAGCAAGAGAGGGAACACAAGCATGGGGAGTGGGAAAGGGAGAAGCAGGCTTCCCGCTGAGCAGACAGCCCAATACGGGGCTCGATCCCAGGACCCTGGGACCATGACTTGAGCCGAAGGCAGACACCCAATGACTGAGCCACCCAAGTGCCCCAATAAAGATATTTTTAAATGAAATCTGGGTTCCTATACTCAGCCAAATATTCTTCAAAAATGATGGAACAGTAAAGATGCTTTTTTAGAAAATCAAACTTGAATAGTTCATTACCAAAAAACTAAATGAGGGGCGCCTGGGTGGCTCAGATGGTTAGGCGTCTGCCTTCGGCTCAGGTCATGATCCCAGGGTCCTGGGATCGAGTCCCACATCGGGCTCCCGGCTC